AAGGCAGCTCTAGGGAATAGGGCTACTTGCGAAGAATTTGGGCTGCTGAAAATTAAATGTAGTATAATTCAGGCTTTCTAACTCAAAGAGAGAAATGACATAAACAGAAATAAAGAGTCACACTTTAGACAACAGCCAGATTCTAAGGTAAAAACCTAAAGGACTATTTGGGTTGTATTTATAGATCATGTTGTATGGAAAAATACTGTTTTTAAAAATATTAGAATCATATTCCACTTACTCTCATAGAGGATATTGAAAGAGAATTTAGTTGAAGGATACAAGGTTTGGGGTCCCATCTCACGTTCCTTCTCATATATGATCAGATCAGCAGAATCATTGGAAATACAGTCTCTCTTTGCATCTCTCTTTCTACTCAACACACAGGTGAACTTGTCATTGACTAGACATACATGAGATGACTTCCTTCAATAACTCCCAACTGTGAGAAGCAGAAGTCCCCACAAGGCATTAAAGGGCACATGGATAAAGACAATAAATCCAGCTCAGGGTTTCAGAGAGGATGTCTGAACTTGGTATTGAAGAATGGATAGTATTTACAGAAGAAAAGACGTGGAGAGGTAGCCTAGGAAGAAGAGCATGAGCAAAGGCATAAAAGCAGGGATGTGCAGAGCTCGTAATTTAAGGGAAAGGACTGGTCAAATGTCACTGGGTCTAGGACTGTGTGATGGACAAAGGCGGTAAGAGTGAGATTAGAAAGGAATCTGGTCTCCTTTCTATAGCCAAGATGTGTGACCACATTCAAGGAGAAGGCCACTGCATGGGCTTTAGGAATAAAGAACCTAAGCACCAAAGGTCCTTAGAGATCTTCTAAGCACAGCTTCCCCTACCTATTTTCCCTAAGAATCTCCTCTATGGGATCCCTCTGTGCAAAAGAACCCACAAGGTAGGGGATAGAGTAGGGCCTTTGATTCACTTGAGTGATTACAAGCAAGTAATTGAGCCTCAGTTTCCTAAGGTGCAAAATGGGGACACTGACCTTTCCTAGTACGTAAGATTGCTGTGAAGGCCAAATGGTTAGGGTTGCGCTTTGGAGCTACGTGAGCTAGCTGTGAGGAACTTAGCTGGATAATTAACTTCGCTGAACTTCAGATTCTCTTCAGTAAAATGGTTGTAATAATATCCACCTGGTATGGTTGATATGAGATTTAACTGAACTAATCGATATAAAATGCTTAGCCAAAGCGCGGCATGTAGTAAATACGCAGTAAATATCAGTTACCATAATAGCTGAGAAAATGACACAGAATTATGTAAATGAATGGGAATTTATTTTCTGAAAACACGAAAGATTTGTTCCCAAAAGAGTTTTTGAGAGATTGACTAAATCGTGCAAATAAATGCAACAAAAATCACAGGCTCTTGTAGGCTCTTGAACCTACAAGTTCCTTTATCAGCTCCAACAAGACGGCCACGCCCCCAACCTGATAGGCCCGCTCCCAGTCGTTGACAGACCCCGCCCCTCCGGGGAGTTCCTCCTCGGCCCCGCCCCTCGGGCCTGGCTCGGGCACGCTCACCCCGACGCGCCTGCGCGAGGTAGGCCAGCGGGCAAAGGAGATGTGGGTGCTGGTGCGGCGCTGCTGGGGGCCCCTGCCAGCGGGTGGCGGCGCGGGCCGGAGACCAAGTCCCGGGTGGCGAGCGCTGGCCTGGTTCGGCGGGTCTCCTGGTGGGGAGGACGGCCGGGGCCCCCGAGTCCGCGAAAAGCCGCCGTGGCGGGTGCTCTTCTTTGGCACAGACCTTTTCGCCCGCGAGACGCTGCGGGCTCTGCACGCCGCCAGGTACCGAGGCCGGGGTTTGGGGGGCCCAGCTACTGAGGGCGCCGATGTCCAGCCTCTGAGGGCGGCCCCGACGGTTTGGACTCCCGTTGGGGAAAATAGCGGCGCCGGAGGGGTGCAGGCCCAGATCTCGGCGTCTCCGGGCGCCCGGAAGCTGCACGGCACCCACCTCCCTCCCCTGGTCCGTCCGGTCTACACCCTACACTCCAGGCCCTGTCTATGGGCTAGCGGGCATCCCAGGGTGCCAAGCCCGTGCTAGCCGTGTGTATACATCACCTCCGTCCAGTCCCCCCACCTCCCTACCGGTTTTGCGTGTAAGGTAAGGAGCCCAGAAAGGTTGAGCTATTTGCTCAAGGTTATCAGCTGAGCTAACTGGGATTGAAAAGGGGTCTGACTTCAAAGTCCTTCCCTTTCCACTTCCTCCTACTGCCTCTGATCCATCTAATATATACTCTTCGATCTTCTGGGCGTCTTCTTACCAGGCACATGCATCCTCCGACACATCAATGTCTTATTCCTTCACTCCTCGTCTCCTCCCTGTATACAGCCGGATCTAGTTTTCTGAGGCTGACATGAGGACATAATCAAAATACCAAGTATTCAAATGAATAAATTTATAAATCAGAACTCCTAGATATACATTTAGTATTTATAAAATTTAACAAATCTTGTATACTGGAAAAAAAATATTTGCGATCCAACCTGTCCTGAAGTCTATAGTATATGGTAGCTATACCCATATATACTGCTCTGCCCCATTTCCCTGCAACCTCCAGTTTTTTATTTCCCCATTCCGTTTTTTTCCTGATGCACGCCCCCCAACTCATTTCTGCCATCTCACTCCATCAAGTCTTTCCTACAAATACTTCACAGCAGCCCCTCATACTGACTCTCTCATCAATATTCTTGTTTCATATTCCTCCTTCTACACACTGCCCTCTGTACACACCCAGAAACAGTCCCTTCACACCTTTCCTTTGCACACCGTCCATAATGCTGCTTTCCCCATATTGCCTTCCATATCTCGCACTGCCTGTATCCTGCCCCTTCTGCTGTGTCTTCATTTGGCAGTTCCATTACTCATGCACGTATACTTTTTCTCATATCTCAATATGTGATGCAATGCCTGCTAAATATATAAATGAACAGTCTTCCTGTACACTGGAATACTATGCAGCAGATAAAAAGAATGAGGTAGTGCTATACATACTGTCATGGAGTGATTACCATGGAGTGTGTGTGTGCATTTAAGTATTGTTTGATTAACACATGGTTATGGTACAAAATTCAAGAGAATCAAAGGATATACAGAGTCAAAGGATATATAGAGTCAGTTCCTTCCACGTATCTTCCCAGTTCCTCTCTTCAAAGACAGCCACTGTTTTTAGTTTCTTATTCTAGAAATGTTCTATGCATATGTAAGCAAATGTATAATTAACCCATTTTTTAAAAAAGACTCACATAACAGCATATGTAGTGTTGTTAAGAAGAAAAAAAATGTAGAGCAGTGTATATAGTATCCCTAAATAATAAATAATAAAATGTCTGTTCTGTATATGTTTCTCTTTGCGCAAGAAAATTTTAGAACTATGCTGTCCAAACAGTAGCGACTAGCCATATGGGGCTCTTTAAATTTAAAATAATTAAAATTAAGTAAAAACCTAGTCTCTTCTATATACTAGTTTAAATCATTTACCCTTAAGAGCTTCATGAATTTAATCATAAAAATACCACAAAGATGTGTGAAGTAGTTTAGCTTTGACCCATTGTCTTAACACTGTCACATTTTCTTCCAATCTTTCCAACTTAGCGAAAACAAAGAGGAAGAGTTAATTGAAAAATTGGAAGTGGTCACAGTGCCCTCCCCATCACCAAAAGGACTGCCAGTGAAGCAATATGCTGTCCAGTCTCAGCTTCCAGTGTATGAGTGGCCAGATGTGGGATCTGGAGAATATGATGTTGGAGTGGTCGCTTCGTTTGGCCGACTTATGAGTGAGGCTCTTATTCTTAAATTTCCCTAGTAAGTTTTATTTATAAGGAAATATAAAGACCTTGGACTTGATATCTATAAAATGCAATAACATGAACTCTGATTATGCTTTCTTTAGTATTTTATCTTAGAATAAAAAATGTTAGTAGTGGCATGAATTGTTAAAATGTATGGTGCTCTTTATCACTATCTATGGGTTTTTCACCCACCCTCACTTAAGTTCCATGTATATGCTGACAACTCCCAAATTTGTCCCTCCAGTTCAGATTTCTCCCTGAACTCTAGGCCTCTGATACCCAGCGCCTCCTCCACAGCTTTGCTTGGATGTCTGATAGGTACTTTACATTTAAGATGTGCAAAATGACATTCCTGAAATTTCACCCAAAATCTGCTCCTTCCAAAATCTTTACCCCAGCAAATGGCACCTCTTGCTTTCTAGTTGCTCAGCCCCCAAACCTAAGAGTCTTCTTAATCCATTATCTCACACCATGCATCCAGTCCAACAGGAAATCTTATTGGCTCTGCCTTGAAATCTGTCTAGAATGTTCTTTCATCACTTTCACTGCTGCCACTCTCACCTGTAGTACTGCACTAGCTTCCTAACTGGTCTCTACTTTTGTCCTTGGCCCTCTCAGTCTTTTGCCAACCCAGCAGCCCAAGTGTTCCTTTTAAAGCATAAATCAGATCATGTCACTCTGCTCAAAATTCTATGGTGGTTTTCCATCTTTACTCAGAATAACAGTCAAAGTTCTTATATTGGCTTGTGAATACTTGCCTGCTTGGTTTGGTCTTCTGCTGGTTCTCTGGCCTCATCTTCTGGAACTATTCCTCAGGTTCGCTCCACTCTAGCCACACTGACCTCCCTGCCGTGCCTTGAACTTGACAGCATTGACCTTCCTCAAGACCTTTGTACTTACTGTTCCCTCTGCCTGGAAAGCTTTTCTCCCATATATCTACATGGCTATTTCTTTACCTCCTCATGTTTTTGCCCAAGTGTCTTCTTATTGGTAGAACCTTCTTTAACCACTATTAAAATTGTAATCCCAATACTCGCTTTCCCTTCTCTGCTTTATATTTCTGAGCACCTGAGCACCATCTGACAAACTTTTTACGCATTTTCTTTTTCATTGCTTATCTCCCACTCTTGGTTTATAAGCTCCCTGAGGGAACAATTTTTTTTTTCTGTTTAGTTCACCATTGCTTGTATCCCCAGTACTTAGAACATTACCAGCACGTGGATTGTGCTCAGTAAATATTTGTTGGATGAGTGAGACTGAGCTGAACAGTGGATCTTAGAATATAAGACACTCATATATACACACTCTAAAGTGAATAATCATGCTGATAGAGACATCATTAATGACAGATTAGTAAATTATTTAAATTGCTCATTAATGGATGATAGGTGTATTGGGGTAAACAGCAAAGGTGAATAGATCACTTGATGGGGATTCAGGAAGCTTGTTTTAGTCATTCTATATGTGAACTAAGTGAAATGAGGGTAATTATGTAACTAAACTATAAATATAACTCACATCATCCATGAAATGCACGATAGGGTCTGAGTGATTCTACTCATATAGTAAAAAATGCATTTTTTGTTTTTATTTAAAAATTCCTAGGCATAAGCTGTTGTGGAACACCTTTGGAACAACGCATATTCTTGCTCTGTTTTTAATTGTTTCATTGGTCGCTTATGGTAAGAGAGTGAACTTAACTCTGGCTCCCTTTTCAGGTGGTACAAGACTAGATTTAACTGTTAGTTTTTAAAAATTTCTGGGAAAGTTTAATGATGAAAAGTAGCATATTAGTTTAGGTAGCAGTAACTAAATGGAACAGCCCACTTGCATACTAATTTATGCCTTTTCTAACTCAGTGGCATATTGAATGTCCATCCCAGTTGCCTCCCAAGGTGGCGTGGTCCAGCTCCTATCATCCATACAGTGCTTCACGGAGACACAGTTACTGGTGTAACGGTTATGCAGATCAGACCTAAAAGGTAGAACTTATTTTCTTTTCTTGAAATCTCTTGTGATTTTTAATATCGATATCAGCCTCTCTGGGTGGGAAGGGAGGAAACAGGTAAATGGTTGGTGCTCACTAATTTCTCTAACTCCAAAGTCATCCCTTTGCTTTTGTATCCTTTCTGTTTTTAACTTGTTTCACATAATAAGCCTTCTATGTTTTGGTATTTATGCAGCATCTCTTTAAAGCCCTTGTGAAATTTTTAATATTTTAATTGAAATAAATTACATCATTAACAACTGGATTTCTATAGAAGACATTGTTTTAATGAGAGATGGATTTTTGCATATTAGTTGTTATATTAGTCTCGGTTCTGCTGGCCTTGGTCTCTGTGGTCAAACAATTTTTAGAACCCGATGTAAGAATATATTGTATACCAATAGTTGCTTAAACATTTAAATTTGTTACTATACCTACAGTCTAAGAAACAATTATTTTAAATTGCTTCAGGAATGTATTAAGCCTCTGCCTATTGTCACCTAATTGTCCCCATAGAAAAGATGATTCACAAGTTCACAAGAGCAATTCAGTGTCTGAGATTTGCTATAATTTACTTGAGAAAAAAAGAGGAAGGGGGTAGATGAAACAAGAGTGGCAAAACTTTGATAATTCTAAAATCTGGGTGATGTATATATGGTGATTCATTAGACTTCTCCATTTTTGTGAATGTTTGTAATTTCTCATAATAAACATTTTATTAAAGCTCAAGTTAAAAATAGGCCACAGAGTTAAATATTCAAAATAAATTATATTTCTAGTAAAAGTTAATGGCCAGTATTTACAGAGCTTGATATAAAATGTAAGACTCATGGGAATGCACACACTTGTGCCTACTTATAATCAACAGTGATTATAATCCAGGCAAAACTCTTGTTCTTTGAGAGAGGAAATATGAAAAGAAATAATTAGGAATTTCCTAATTGTACTTTCTTAGAAAAGAAATTCTTTGCTCTATGCTTTCATTATACAAATAGAGATTTTAAAAAATAATATTTATTACTAATGGTTGAATTATCTATAATTCCAATTAAATCCCTGATATGCAACTTTATAGTTTTTTCTTTGAGGAATAAATAAATTTAAAAACTAATTACAGGTCAGATTTTACTCTCCCTTCTTTCAAACTGACATTTCTCCCTTGCTAATGACTAAGTCAAATTCATAGCCAAGGTCAAACTGTTCTTGTGGTATGTAAACACTCATGTAGACAAACATTTTGATTGTAAGAAATCGTCAGAAATTATATTATTGTTTGTTTTTTATTTTTATTTTTGTAGATTTGATGTAGGTCCAATTGTCAAACAGGAAACCATTCCTGTGCCACCCAAAAGCACTGCAAAGGAATTGGAAGCAGTGCTGTCAAGACTGGGTGCCAACATGGTAAGTTCTCTGATATCCCACTGCTTTTTATTCACTTGCTAGATGAAAAGAACAATTACATGATTTTAAGTTGTCGTTTTTTTAGAGAGCAATTTCTGTCCATGGCTTCCTAAATATTAGCTTGGCATTTGTGATCTCGTGTAAGTCTTTGAGAATTTACACAGAGTGGGTACTTCATAAAGGCTTTCAAATGAAACATGTGATCTTATATGGGCCACTATATCACAGTGAGGCTTTTAGACTATTCTTCCCAATTTCACTCCCCTCAGTCTCATAGATGTACTTTTCTTTCATCTTTGTCATACTGAACCAGCAGCATTTCCTAGGTGACTCTTAACTTTCCTCTTACTTCTGTGCCTGTGTTCCAATCATTTGCATCCATATGCACTGGAATTCTACCGACCCCCTAGTTATAAATGATCTCCATGGCTTTGTATAGCTTGTTGTGTAGCTCATTTAATCTGCATACAGTAGGGTCTGAATAAATGCTTAATGACCAAATTAATGATTTTCGTATGAACTTATTAATTTTCTGTAAAGGAAAACACTCCCCCTAGCTATTTGGATGGTGCGTCCTATTCTAGGCACATGCCTCAGAAATGCTGTTATAATAGTGGCTGTCATTTATTGAGCACCGGCTTGTGTTCTAGATACTCTATAAACTTACTTTTTACCTTCTCAGCAAACCTTTGACGTAGCTGTTGCTGTCAACACTTATACAGATTATGACATTGAAGGCCACAGACAAGTAAAATAACTTTTCCACAATGACATGGCCAATAGGTGGTAGAACTGGGATTTGAACACAGAATATACTGTTTTTCTGTGAGGCTCAACTGGTGAGAGTGTGAATGACTGAGCGTAGTCTGTCCTGGTTCAGAAAGCTTGCACAGCCAGGCAAAGCTCAGTATTCTCTGGAAGCAAATCAGTGACCTGCACTCTACAGAGAGTGACATCTCTACTGAAACTCCACCGAGCAGATGTATATCCTCACAGCTTAAGCCAATTAACTACCTCGCCTGTCACCCAGCTTTCTGAAAGCTATAAATTACATGAATTGTAATGTATTTCTGCTTTTATTCTTTTCATCTTCGATATATTGTTCTCCTTTTTAAGCTTATTTCAGTTTTGAAAAAATTACCTGAAAGTTTGAACAATGGAAGGCAGCAGCCAACTGAGGGGGTGACACATGGTGAGTGAAGCCTGCAAAGACTCTTACCTCTTTCATAGGTTTTGTTTTTTGTTGATGGCATCTAAACATTCTGACTTCTTCACTTACACATTTCCCTTAATTTTGACTAAAGAGTAAGTGCACACTACTATGTCCTTTTCCAAAGAATGGTTGGTAAGGTTTCCCTCTCCCTCTTAATATATGCAGCCTCATGAAAGATTGGAAATTTTGTTCCTACTTTTTATATTGAAAAGTATCAAACAGATAAGTTGAAAGACAGTGAATACCTGTTTAACTCAGGGTCAACAATTATTGATGTTTGGCCAGATTTTCTTTCGTTCTCTAAATGTATGTTTATTTAGTATACATATTTTAATTTCTGTTTAACCATTTGGAAGTATGCATCATGACCTTTCATCCCTAAACACTTCATCATGCATCCCTAAGAAAAATGAACAGTTCCATAATAGCATCTAATATCCAGTCCGTATGTATTTTCTTAATTGTCTAAAAACGTATTTTATAGCTATATATTTATCAAACTAGGATCCAATTTTAATTAGTTGTTATGTTTCCTTAGTCTCTTTAATCTAGAGTGATTCTTCCACTATTTTTTTCTCCTCCATGTGATTGACTTTTTGAAGAAACTGGGCCAGTTGTCTGTTTCCTTCCAGTGTTATTTCCTATAAACTGAAAGTTCAAATGGCTTGGTTAGATTCAGGCTTAAAATTTTTGGAAACAGTATTTCATAGATGATATTATGTTCCAGTGATATTTTTTTCAATTTATTTTTAATTTTAAGGAGCTTGTTAAATGTATGATTTAATTTTATTTTAAAAACATTTACGTGATTCAAAAGTTAAAACTATTTAAAAGGATATGCTTGGAATAGTCTGGCCTGTCCCTCCAATCTTAGGATGCTCATATCAATAAGCCATAATATGAGGTTGCATTAAGGCTAGTAAAGCTAAGTTTGATCACTTGGTTGAAGAGGTGACTACCAGATCTATACAGTATGAAGATGTGTTTCTTCATTTGCAATCAGCTGGTAATTTGTGGGGTAAGACTTTGGCACCATGCAAAAATCCTGTTCTCTAACAACCTTTCATATAACAATTTTAGTGTGGATTGATGCTCCTACTTTGAATGAATTACTTAATTGGGGATTGCCAATAGTGATTTTCCAACTTCATTTACATTTAGTAATTGGCATTGTTCTGTAAGAAGAGCTTTTCCTCATTAATTGGGCCTGAATTTTAGTTCATTCTAAAATAACAGGGTAAATGCTTAATTTTTTCTCTAATTATCAAGTTTTAGAGTAAGGAGTTGGTACCATAATTGCCTTCAGTTATGATGGCCACTAAAGTTTTTTGAAATTATCATTTGACTCATGGATTTTCATTTATTGTGCTTTACAGTTAATTACAATCATAATTCTTTGTGCAACTCAAATTGTCCCAGATTGGCCAGTGGGAGCCCCTTAACATTGGCTCCTGTATCCTTTCGATATCCCCCCAATCCCCAACTAGTTTTTGAGTGCTTCCTGGCTGTCTGTCATAAGATGTCCCAGGCTCACCTTGTAAATTCTCTGTCCTACACTGGAATCAGCCATCTCTCCCTTATTCGTTTTAGTGGGGGAGGGGGGAATTTAGAAACCATCTGGTATAACAGTATGTTTCAGCATGAGGTGTCAGTGGACAAGGCTAGGATTATATTTTTAAAAAATGTTGGAGTTCATATTGTTTCTGATTCAAACTTTAAATTATGGGGTTTTAAAAAATATTTTCTCTTACACTGAATTTTTTTTTAAACAATACTAATGTTTATTTTTTCTACATAAAATAGTTTTGAAATTATAACACCAATATTACTACAAACAGTAAAAGTACTAAGTAGAACTTAAGATTTCTCTGCAGTTTTTTTTTCCTTTAAATATATCCTGCTAAGAGTATATAGTCATAGTACTTTGTTCAAAACTTCCTGAAGATAATTATATTTTCCATGTGATTTTGCTATCTAGTTTGATATATAGTTAGGTCTATTTGCTTCAGTTTGTTTTTAATTTTCAGGGTTGCTTTTTTCCCCTGATAATTAAATCTTATTTTTGAATATAGAAAATATTTACATGATCGAACAGTTAAAGCCATTTGAAAAGGAATACTCAGAAAAGTCTCATTTCTATCTCTAGCCCCTCCAATCCTGTTTCCCTCCTTCTATAGTAACTATTTTTATTAGTTTCTGATTTAGCTTTCCAGTTGTTTACTTTTATCAAAATAAACAAGAACATATATTTTAAAATCGATTTTTCCATTTTGCTTCCACTAAAGGTAGCATAAAATATACACTCTTCTGCACCTTTCATTTTTTACTTAACCCCGTATCCGGGAAATCATTTGCTATCAATAAGAAGAGATTTTCCTTGTTCTTTTTTGTGGTGGCATAATTCTCACTTGTGCAGATATAGCATAAGTTATTCAACAGATTTCCTATCGGTGGACATTTGGGTTGTTTCCAGTCTTCTGCTATTTCAGTGAATAACTTTTGCTAGGAATAACTTTATGCATGTGTTACTTCTTAATCTAATAGATAATAAATTGCATCTTGGAGTAATTTTAATTTACATTACTCCTTGAATGAATTTGAGGATCTTTTCAATATGTTTAAGGACTATTAGCATTTCTTTTTTCTAGGAAGAGTTTTTTGCCAATTTTTCTATCAGGTTTTAGTCTTTTTCTTCTTGGTTTTTAGGAATTCTTTAATCAATAGATATAAATCTATATAATAGATATAAAGTATTTCTAAATACAATATAAAGTATTTCTAAATACACTATACAATATATAATTATATTTATATTTGATATATAGCTATATGTCTTCTATATATCTATATAAATAGATATAAAGTATTGTAATATAAATTGCAAATACTTTTAGTTTGTCATTCGTTTTTTGACTTATGACATTTTTTTTTGTCTTGCAGAAGTTTATTTTTATTTAGTCACATTTATCATTGTTTTCTTTAATTGCTTCTGGAGTTTGAATTAGAAGGATTTTTTTCTGCACCTAGGTTATAAAGAAATTCACCAGTGTTTTCTTCTAGTACTTGTATGGTTTATTTAATTTTATTTTATGTTATGAAAAATTTCAAACATATACAAAAGTTTAGAAAATAATATAATGAATTCTCTTGTATCTATCATTCAGTTATCAATTCATGGACATGGAACCTGATATTCATTCTTTCTATTGGCTTTATCTTGTAGCCCCTAAGGTTTCTGTTGGTACCAGCTGTATAAAATGGGAGGAACAAACTTCAGAGGAAATATTCAGACTTTATCGTGCCATTGGAGATATAGTAAGTTAGAAGTCAGATTGCAGTTTTACTTAATTGTGTGTATGTATGTGTGTGTGCGTGCGTAATTCACTTTCAAATATTTTTAGGAATGAATCTAATGTAATCTAAAGATCTTGAAATTTGTTTTTTTAAATTATTTTCATTGTAGTAAAATATACATAACGTAAAATTTACTATTTTAACCATTTTTATTTTTACATGTATAGTTTAGTGGCATTAAGTAACCTCTGAGCTTTAGTTTGTTCATTGGAAAATTAGGGCCGATATAATGTATATAAAGCATCTAGTATACCATCTTGCACAGAGTAGGTACTCATTAAATGATCTCTTCTATTCATTCATTCATTAAAGAAAATATTTATTGAAGGCTTATTATGTGTCAGGCATTGTTCTAGGTACTAGAGATAAAGATAATGTGGGAAGGCAGACAATAAATAAGCAAATAAATAAAAATATCAGTGTGATAAGTTTCTTTCAGAAAATTAAAATAAGATAATGGGATAGACTAACTGGAGGTTATTTTAGATTGGATAGATGGGGAAGGCCTTCTGAAGTGACACTTAAGCTGAGATCTAAAAGACAATAAGGAGCCAGCCATGCCAAGATCAGTACAAGAGCATTCCAGACAGAGGGAGCAACTAGTACAAAACCCAAGGTAGGCTAAACCAGATAATTTCATTACAAGAAAAGAAAACTAAAAAATCAGTATTCCTTATGAATATAGAGGTAAAAACCCTCAACAAGATTAGCAAACTGAATCAAAGAACATGTAGAAAAGGATTATAACTATGACCAAGTGGGATTTATCTGAGAAATGCAAAGTTGGTTCAACATACAAAAATCAATCAACGCAATATACCATATTAGTAGAATAAAGGACAAGAGCCACATATTTGTCTCAGTAGATGCAGAAAAGAGATTTGACAAAATGCAACAGCTCTTCATGATAAAAATGCTCAACAAATTAAGAAGAGAAGAGAACTTCCTCAGCCTGATAAAGAACATCTACAAAAAACCCACAGTTAACATCATATTTAATGGCAAAAGACCGAAAGCTCTCTGCCTAAGAACAGGAGCGAGAGAAGGATGTCTGCTCTTACAACTTCTCTTCAACATTGTCCTGGAGGTAATAGCCAAGAGATAAACAAAGGTAACCAAATTGGAAAGGAGGAAGTTAAACTCTCTATATTTGTAGATGACATGATCTTATATTGATAAACTCATAAAGAATCGCCCTAAAAAACTACTAGAGCTAATAAATAGTAAAGCAGACCTAATAGTAAATAGAAAGACCTCTGTGTTCATGGACTGAAAGACTTAATATTGTTAAGATGGCACTACTCTCCAAATTGATCTACAGACTCAACACAATCCCTATAAAATTCCAGTTGACTTCTTTGCAGAGATCTTGAAATTCATATGGCATCCCAAGAGGCCCAAAATAGCCAAAAAATCTTGAAAAAAAAGAACAAAGTTGGAGAACTCACACTTCTTTTTTTCAAAACTTACTACAAAGCTACAGTAATCAAGAAATGTGATACTGACATTAAGATAGACATATAGCTCGATGAGACAGACCTTAGGGTCCAAAAATAAACCCATATATTTATGGTCAATTAATTTTTGATGAGCGCCAAGACAATTTGATGAGAAAAGAATGGTCCAAGCTTCACCACATGGAGCTTGGACAATTGGATATCCACAATCAAAAGAATGAATTTGTATCCCTACCTCACACCATATAAAAAAATAAATTCAAAATGAGACCTAAATGTAGAAGCTAAAACTATAGTACTCTTAGATGAAAATACAGGGGTATATCAAATTTAGAGGTATGACCTTAAATTTCACTTTTTAAAAAATATTAGAAGGTCAATAAAATTTAAAATTCTTTAAAAAATGTAAAAAAAGAAAACATAGGGCTAAATCTTAATGATCTTGAATTAGGCAGTGGTTCTTGGATATAATGCCTAAAGGATGAGCAACCAAACTAAAAATACAGAAATTGGACTTGAAAATTCAAAACTATTGGGCTTCAAAGAACACACTCAAGAAAATGAAAAGATAACCTACAGAATGGAAGAAAATATTTGCAAATCATATGTCTGATAAGCATCTAGTATCCAGAATATATAAAGAATTCTTAAAACTCTACAGCAAAAAAGACAACCTGATTAGGTAACGCACAAAAGATCTGAATAGACATTTTCCAAGAAGATACATAAACGGCCAATAAACACATGAAAAGATGATCAGTTTCTTTAGTCATTAGGAAAATGACAATCAAAACTACACTGAATATAGATGCTCTGAGTTGCAGATGTCAGGCTAGAAGCAGGCCTGTGTGCCACTGTAGACTCTCTCAGACTTCAAACTGGAGTAACGTAGAAAATGAACTCAGAAATCAATGCACATTTTGTCAGCAATAATGCCAGACCCAGTTTAACATACACACCATGGCCCAGCAGGTTTACCCAATGTTTCTAGTCCTAGATCCTGCCTATAATCCATTTTCTGTTCCTGGGGCAGGTTTCAGAAATGGAGTTCTGTATTTTCCACATTCTTAGTGCTCAGTATCCTGGCTTCTTCATACCTCAGTCCCCATTGCCCACAACACTTAACAGCATACCTGTATTCCCTACATGTTGTAATCCAGCACGGTTCTGGCACTATAGTGGCTATGGGGAAAAATGATAACAAAAGAGACTTCAACTGAACTTCAGCAGGTTGAGAACATGAGTGAAAAATAAGTCTTATCCTCATAAGGCAAAAGTCGTGACATAGATAGGGTGACCAGTATCTCTACTACTAATGTTGACATTGAAACTGACAACATTCCTGAAGAAACAAATAGGGCTTCATCTTCTATTGCCCAGAAGAGGGAGTTACGTGGTAAGAGCTCTTCTAATGACACTCTGTGGAAACACACCTCAGGGAAGCTGCATCTGAGAACAAGAAAATGAGGATGGAAGAGGGTAAAGGATCCCATGTAACGAAGTTCTGAAAGACTTTGAAAGAAACTATCCATTCGCATGACCTGGCTTATGGTAAAGCCATGCCAGAGAACATGGTGCAGCACAATGGGATTTCACAGAGTTCATGTGAAAGTCAGCGTGTGCTCAATAACCCTCATGAGGGTAAAGACCACATTATGTATAAAGGTAAACAAAGAGCTGTCTAGTCAGAGCAGTGTCATGATATTCTAAGATCTAATGATCTTAGAATTAACCATGATTAACCATGGAGATGAACTTGGGTAATGAAAAGAAGGGATACAAATCTTGCTGTTCTTCGAATCTTGCCCTTCCAGATGAAGTAAAAGACAGAAAACTCAGAACTCAGAATTGGAGATGTCAATAAGCTTCAGCAGCAAAGGCCACTGATGCCAGCATGAAAGCAGTCAAGGACCTGAACATACAATCTAAATCCCAGAAGCCCCTTAGCATTGTAGAAAGGAAGCCAGACAACAGCAGTGGGAGCCATGACTTCCCTGAGAAACTGGATGAAAAGGAAGCGGGAGATTGGAACAGCTACCTCCAGAGGGCTGCTTCCTCCGCTGCCTGGTCGGCCCACTTTAACAAAGTTGATAAAGGCATCCAGTGTGATATGAGCTGGTGGCAGGTTGCAGAGCAAGCGAGGTCTCCTGAGCCATCACCTGAAGAGAGTAGAATGGGAACAGGGAGAAAGTCGAGACCTTTAGCTTTATCCTAAAGATGGAAACTTAAAGATATTGGTAATGATCTCTGTATTCCATTTCATAGGAAATTATTTTCTGAGTTCCAGCTACAAAGAATAACTAAATATTGCAATGTCATGTTTACTTTAGAACATTGATCTCTTTTGATTTGAACTAATAAAGCTATTATACCAACAGCTAAGTTAAGAAAATGTGACATTATAAAGCTTTTGGAATTATAAGATATAAAGCAGTAAATAAATTGAATTGCATATAAAAAAAAAAACTACACCGAGATACTACTTCACACCTACTAGGATCACTATAATTAAAAAAAAAAGTGTTGATAAGGACGTGGAAAAATTTGGAACCCTAATACATTGTTGGTTAGAATGTACAGCTGCTATGGAAAACAGTTTGATATTTCCTCAAAAAGTTAAACACAGATATATTACTACATAATGATCCTTATCTTCTGCAATTCACCTTTCCTCTCCACTGAGAAAAGCTTGTGCTATAACAGAAGGAGTACTTATCTTGGAGCCAGAAGTGAGGTCTGATTCCTAGAGCTGCCATTTACTAACCAATAGCAAGACCCTTATCTTCTCTGAGCTTTTGTTTTTTTACCTCTAAAATGAGGTTAATGACTGGTCACAGCTGTCAAGATCAAAGGAGATAATCTCTGAATTTAAATCCATGCAAACGTGATTTTGACAGTAATGATGGTAAACGCTGAAATGACTGTATTCTTACCATCCCTTTCCTTTCTGCAATGCTCTGATCACAGGTGAAGGTGAGCTTTACCTCCTCAAGTATAAGAACTGTATATTCTGATTATATTCCTAGCGTATTTATAACTCAGCAAATGTAAATCTTTTTTTAGTCAGTAAGCATGTTTCAAAAGTATTTTGAGTTCTTCAAAAGTAAAAAGTTACATGAGAATTATTTCATAAAGCAAAATGAGTTAAAAGTTATAGAAGAGGATATTGTACCAAAATATATCATATGTAATGTTATAAACAATTATGAACTTCAAATTTACTTAATTTTAAAAAATTTAATGTTTAAATCTTGGCAACAGCCTAACTCTACTAAAAATTAAATGTCTTCTTTAAGAGATCTCATAAAAAGAGCACTGAGCTGAGAATGAAAAAAACATAGATTCTGATCATTGGCTCTGCTACTAACCAGCTCTGTGTCTAACCTTGGGAAAAATATTTGCATTTCTCTGGGCCTCACCTGCTTTATCTATGAAATAGAAGATTGAACTACAGTCTGAAAATAAATTTATTTAATTCAGATATTTGAAAAAAATTATTTCCTGGTGTGTATTAGTTTTTGTTAACATCTTTAAATCAAATTCTGAAGTGTCAGGTATATTGGAAATGTTATGTGATGAAGATGACATTTCACGTTGGGGGAAGGGTGAGATGGATTATCTACTAAACAGCACTGGGACAACTGGTAAGCCATTAGAGGGCTATCTTTTGAAATCAAAATAAAACCTAGATGGATTTAAATAAAAATACGAAACCACATTGTTTCTTGGTTAGTAAATGGCAGCTCTAAGAATCAGATTTCACTTCTGGCTCCAAGGTCTGGAAAAACACAATTGAATAATTTTATTATAATTATATTATATATTATATATATTATAATTATATATAATATAATTATAATAAAATTATTCAATTGTGTTTTTCCAGACCTTGGAGATTATATATTATAATATTTAATAATCTTGAAATGCGGAGTAGACCTTTTTAAGCATAACATGAACCACTGAAGTCATGAGAGAAAAGACTGATAAATATTACTCCATAAAAATAAAAAATAGTATACGTAAGACTAAAAATCAACAATAAAAATATTCATAATACATTCAAGAATTAAAAATCAACATTCAAGACTAAAAATCAACAACAATAAAAATATTCATAATACATTCAAGAGTTAAGGGGCTAATTTCCTAAAGGCTTTCACAAATTAATAGGCAAGAGATGAACAACTCAGTTTAAAAGGAGAGAGGCAGAGACCATAAACGGATAGTTTTCAGAGAAATAAATAAAATGTACACTTTAATATATGGAATGCTCCTCAGTCTCACTAATAATAAACAGCAATACATTGTCATTTTTTCTCTTATTAATACATTTTAACAACAAAATGTTGATGTTCTTTAATCTAGTGCATTAAAAAAAAAAACAATAACTATCCTCTAGAAATGTAAAAGTCCTCAAAAATATATCTACCAGGTTATTTATTATCACATTTTGTAATTTTATAACAGCAAAAAATTGAAAATAACAAATATTCCATCATAAAGGTATTGGTTGAGTAAATTATGGTACATTCATAAGATGGAATACTATGCAGCAGATAAAAGGAGTGAAATAGTTAAGTGCACTGATGATCATGGTTTATGGTTAAGTAAAAAAATCCCTTGAAAAACTGTATGTTCTAGATTTTTGCAATAGTATTTATAGAAAAATACAAAGTTATTTATTTAAAAAATATAAGGATATTTGATGTTAACATCAAACTGCTATAACGGTTACCTCTGGGGATGGGAGTACAAAATAATTTCACTTTCTAAATTTTTTAATGTAATTACTGTAATGCTTGCATTTTTCATAATGTGCATACATTTTTCATTAGAAATATTAATAAATATATACATTAATTTTAAAATATTGTTTAATGTTAGGATCTTTTAGAGTCTGGAGACTGATATAGGAGATCGTGTTTGTGTTCTATTCAGTAAGATTTGGAGACCGAGTAATTGGAGGAAAAGTCAGACCTGATTGAGACAAAATAATAGTTGAAAAGGATTTGAGAATTGAATATTTCTTTAATCATACTTTAATTTTATTTGCAGATTCCGTTGCAGACACTCTGGATGAATAATACCATTAAACTTCTGGATTTGGTTGAAGTTAATAGTTCAGTCCTCGCAGGTACTTTGAATAGCTGGCATGGAAAATGTTTTCACTCCAGTCTATTTGAAAATGTCCCTATTTTACCATAGGTCACGTTTACTAAAAAGAAGGATTTTTAGTTTGTTTCAGTTCAATAATGATAACACTTTACATTCATTCATTGCCTTACTCATTGCAGTGTCTTTTCACATGGGTTCCTCATTTAATAATCATAGGAACCTGGGAGGTAGATAGAACAGTGCTGCTATCACATTTTAAGCTCTGATTTCCTGCGCTAAGGTTTTCAGGGAATGTAAAATGACTTGGTTCATTTCATGCTGGTGAATATCATAATGAAAATCTATGGGCCCTTCAGTGAGACTCAGGCCATGGTATAGCATTTTACAACACAGGTCTGCTCTGAAGCCCATCAGTGCCCTCCCAACATGGTGGACTGAAGGAGTGTGAATCACAGGAGGAGCTGGTGTAGTTCAGAGGGAGTTGGAGTTCTCCAGGAATCTAGAATTGAGATTTGTTTGATCATGGATGAAAGGGCCAGCTTAGATCCTAAGCCTGCTGTATATTTCTCCACTGGTAGCTAATTATTTCCCCCAAATGGTCAAAACTAGATTTAACATTTTAGATTGATTTCTGGGAGACTGGGTAAAGGACTCATGTGTAGGGAGAGCTTCCCTTTGGGTTTGAGATATGCAGAGAGCACCATGGCTCCATTTTAAGTTTTGGATTGTAAAGTCAGGTCATCAGCCGATGGGCCCACTCTAATGTTTTTTGATCTTTAAGAAGCACAATTAAGTTGTATAATTATTCTCTCTCTCATATCCTCCCCCTCCCCTACTCTTTAGATCCAAAATTAACAGGACAGGCTGTTATTCCAGGATCCATAACATACCACAAACAGTCGCAAATACTGCTGGTTTGTTGCAAGGTACATTTCTTTGAGGTTTCAATTACTATACTTGTTTTAGTGAGTTTTTACAGCTTGTATCATTTATCATTTTTAATTAGCACTTCACTCAGTTGCTTATCCATCAGATTGAGCTAATGAACAGTTTAATTTTCTTAAAAAATAGTAGAATTTCAAATAATTTTGAAAAATAGTAGAATTTCAAATAATTTTAAAAAATAGTAGAATTTCAAATAATTTTTTGAAAGGGATTAAAGTTTGCCAAAGTTTTTTTTACTGAAACAATGAAAGAAGATTCAGTAACTTTAGTGCTTCCTTAAAAGAAACATATATTTTCATTAATCCAATTTAATTAACAAGCTCTTTTTAATAATTAACAAATCTTGTTTAATTAACAAGTCATCTTGTTAAAATGACTATCAGAAAAGATGGTATAATTTTTTGAAAGGGATTAAAGTTTGCCAAAGTTTTTTTTACTGAAACAATGAAAGAAGATTCAGTAACTTTAGTGCTTCCTTAAAAGAAACATATATTTTCATTAATCCAATTTAATTAACAAGCTCTTTTTAATAATTAACAAATCTTGTTTAATTAACAAGTCATCTTGTTAAAATGACTATCAGAAAAGAGTGATATTGAGGTAGCTAGCTGAACTACAGTGCATGTGTCCTACTTGCTTTTACTATCCAACAGTGGTTAGAGAGGAGATTTCTTAACTATTTTAAATGGCTTTGGAACCATTATTGTTTTATAAGACAATGGCGTTATCCTGAGAAGTGTTCCACATTCCTTCCATATCCTGAGTGTTTTCCTTCCATATCCCATGGTGTTTGTGTGAGATGTTTCATGCTCACCAACGGGTGTTTTAAAATTGTGATAGATTGATCTGACCCCTGCAGAATGCAGATACAGAGCTCCTACTTCAGCCTCTCTTCATCTTCAAGTTATTCTGGAATAACATTGATTGCATATGTCTTGTCCTTGTCTGGGTCTGTGAATATCTGTATTGCAAATCTGCAATTTGCTCTCATAGAAGAAGCTGGAGTTGTCTGTACATGTGAGTTTGAGTCCCACCAGTTTTGTCACCATGAACAAATCACTCACCCTCTCTGGGTATCAGTTTTCTCTTCTAAAATCACTTTTCTCTGGGGATGATACTGACTCTGTCTACCTTTTAGAGTGGTTATATAAATCACAATAAGATATATGGACACACTTCGAAAACTGTACAGCACCATGCAAATATAACATACCTTTTTATTCTGCTCCCTCTGTGTTTAAATAGGTTTATCAGGTCTATACATGTGTTATTGCTCCTTGGTAATAAACTTTTCAAGTCAAAGAAGTATGTTACATATGTATTATAGTGCTCTTTGCAACTAGACACTTAATAAGCTTTATTGGTTTATTTGTTTTTATGATAAAAGTTTTGTTATCACTGCCTATTCACTATTTGTCTTTTACCTTTTAGGATGGCTGGATTGGTGTACGATCAGTGATGCTCAAGAAAACACTAACAGCTACTGATTTCTACAATGGATATTTGCACTCCTGGCACCAGAAAAATGCCCAAGCTCATCCAAGCCAATGCAGATTTCAGACTCTCAGACTTCCAGCAAAGAAGAAGCAGAAAAAAGAATTTGTTGCTATGCAACAGTGCATTAAGTAGTTAGGAAGAAGATGGACAAGACCTATTACATATTTGTAATTTATTAAAAGCCTTATTTACAAGGAATTACCTTGACTTTCAAAAAGATGACACTGTTGGAGGAAGAGAAGATTATTGGGAAAAAGATGAATTACCTCACTTCCCACTTTTTATTTAACAGTAGTTAAAAACAACTTTTCTACTTGAATAACAAAAGAAGCTTTAAATAAAAATTTAATTTATAATATCGAACTCAAGGAGATTATATCTTAAGAGCTAGTGCAACTAACTGGTATGCATATGCATACGGAAAAGATGTTCTTTAAAAAGTGTATCTATCGAATGTTTAAAATCTATGTCCCCATTGACTATGTTATGATTTAGGAGTATTTAATCTGTATTTCTGATTTTCAGTAAGTAGTTAAGTCAGCTCTTTAAATTTTTCCACCATCTAGCTCCCATCAAGTAGAAAAGATAAATAATAATCTCTGTCACATTGATCTAAGGAAGTACCCACTCAGATACTGCCACAGGAGTGGGGAATCTTACAGCTCTCTGCTTATTGGTCCTGATCTCTTACTACCTAGTGGTTAATGGTCTCGGTCTGCCACTCCGATTTTAGTCTAGGGGACAAGATTTCATTGTAGAGATGATGAAACAAGGGTCTGGCAACAGCTAGCTAGTGACAACACTAAGATTAGAACTTGAAGACAACCGTAGATTTTTTTTTAAAAGGATTTTAGTCTAGGGTGGAGCCTACTGGTTATTTAGCCAATTACCATTGCCCTTACCAGGCAGAATCTCATATGTCAGACCACTCTAGTCCTTGGTCAAACTGTGCGTGAAGGCCCACCCCAGTCCAATGAGTTCACCTGCATAGAAAATAGCCTAATGCTGACTAGTGGATGAGGGCTGCGGGTGAGGAAGTGTGCTAAAAAGGGAAGTTGGTCATCATGATTGGTATGCTTAAGACTATATGAAATACCTTTTGTACATATGAAATCTTGAGGCAAGAGTACAAGACCCATCCCACAGGGAGCAATTTCCCATTCAAGGAGCCTTGAGCCCATCCTGGGACTGGAGGATAAATACCAGGTTTAGAAATTCCATCTTCCAGTTGGCGGCCCATTCTTTGAATAAGTAAATAAGTGCACATCTCAGGCCTCAGGAAACTATGTGACTCATTCTGTTTAGGCCCCTATAGAAACCACAGTCCAGTGTGACTGAGCAGGGCTTCTCATCTGGATGAGAATCACCTGTAGTACTTACTAAAAATGTAGATTCCTGGGCTCTACTCCAGACCTAGACTCAGAATCTCTGGATATGGGACTCTGCATTTTATCTTACTCAACAAATAATTTTTATGCTAGAGTAGTAACATCTTAACTAGTTTAAGAGGTACACGTGGATCTGAGCCATATATTGGCCCCTAGGTCCAGAGTCCTTTCAGGGAAGATAGACCACAATCTATTCTGTTCTCTGGCTAAAAGGATGGATTTGCAAACACATTCTCTCTATTGCAAGATGCTTCTATTTTAGTTCTTGTCACTGCTGAAAAACATTAGACCCCAAACAGAATTTACTCATTACTAGTTGGGTGACCCAGGACAAGTTGTTTAAATTTTTTAAACTCTGATTTCCCAATTTAAGAACATGGGTAATTATCTTGAAGAATAGAAATACATATGAATATGCCCAGGGAGGTGCCTGGCACATAGTAGACACTCAATAAATGATAGCTAGTATTGCCACCACTATCTAAAACTGCCATAATGCCTTCTTTGTGTCTGCAACAGTATTTCTCCTCTGGATGGCAGTAACAGCTTGTGGAGATAGATGCCTTTAAACCAACTGGAGGAAAAGAATTTTAGAGTGGGAAATGACCTATGATTTCATAACTCAAAATTTCATTGTAGAGATGATGAAACAAGGGTCTGGCAACAGCTAGCTAGTGACAACACTAAGATTAGAACCTGAAGACAACCGTAGATTTTGTTTAAAAGGATTTTAGTCTAGGGGACAAAAATGTTTCTGAGCATAAAAAGGTGCTCTTGAGAATGGCTGCCAAAAAGATGTTTATTGTTTTTATACTTTGTACTTAAGGCTGTATATACTTTGTATATGCAGGCTATTTTTATCATTTTTTTCTTTATATTCATCAAATAATTTCAAGGCAAAAATATACTATTTCTAGAGGCAGAGTCTTAGATTTAACGAACATGGTATGAGCCCCAGCCCTGTCACTGACCATAATAAGCCTAGGCTGGTTACTCACTCTCTCTGAATCTGTTTCCTTGTCTATGAAGTTAAAATTGTACCTACTTTGCAAAGGTTGTCATGAGGAATAAAAATAATACAGGTAACGAATCCAGCACAAGGCCTCAGTACCGTCATTATTAGCTAACATTTGTTGATTGCTGATTACATTTCTTGAGAACTTGACAGGAACTATCTCATTTTATCCTTACAATAACCCTCTGAGCCAGGTTTTGTAATTGATCCTCATTTTTCCAGAACGTTCAATAGCTCATAAGTGGTAGAGCTGGAGTTTGCACTCCAGTAGTCTGATACCAGTCTGTGGTCCTAACCCTGGACTGCCCCACCTCTATGACAAATGTTTTTATCCTTAATCAAGGAATTTAATGTGTTAGGCTTTCGTGCCCAGAAAGGCAAAAATGGGAGCACATTTTAATTGTGTACCCATTATATGCAGGCACTGTGCTAGACTATTTCAAAACAATTGTCTCGTTTTAGTTACTATTTAATCACTGTCTTTATTACCTCTACGAATTCATAAAGTTTTCTGGAACCATACAGATTTTTTTTTTTTTGCTTTATTTTTTAGTATATTAGTGCAGCTCTTATGTTACAGGATTCTTTATTCCTGCTCTTCTTCAAAAGTAGATTATTGCATTGTTGTTTATGGAAAAAACATTGAGATGCTAGGTTGGCAAATAGTACTTTTACTTAGAGATTTTTATTTTAAAAAGTTAAAAATGGACAAACATTAACATCCAAGAAGCTAAAATATAGTTTCCATCCAAGAGGCATTTTTGTGTGTATACTTTTTAAAGTTTCATTGGAAGAGAGAGGCAGTGGGGGGCTTCTCAGAAGCAGCTTTGAGTAAAGGCTATTATAAAGAGTCTATAATATATCTCATAAATATATAAAATCCAAGATATTAGAATTGTAAAGAATTTAGGGATCATTTAGTCCAACCTTGGACTCAATTTATAGAGAAAGAAACCATACCCAGAAAGAGGAAATGTCTTGCCCAAGGATAGAACTCAGGTTTCTTAACCCCCAGATGATAATAAATTATTAAATATATAATAAATAACTGTATATAAGTTGTTTGATAGGACCTTTAGGTAGCAGGCTATAGAAGAGTCATGTTAGTATCTTCATTGGGCAGTTCTAGAATCCCCACTCCGTGTCTGATCCCTATAATCTAGTGTGGTATGTATATGACACAGACTCAGTCTGGCAATGAGGAAACAACATTCATTTTCAATCTTGGGTCTTAGCATAATTTGATACATAACACTGCAGTCAAGTGTATCATGAGAAGCTTTAAAAGTATGGTATTACAAGAATTTGTTATTAGTATGAAAAACTAAATATTTTGTTCCTCTTTTACTTTTTCACAAATCCATGGTCTTTGGGGGTAAAATAGGGGTAATTCACTCTGGTGGGTCAAAGGAAGGAGGCATTTTAAATAGTGGGAAGAGCATATACAAACACCTAGAGGTTTGAGACCTCACAGAGTGTTCAGGGCCCCTTTGAGAGAGCCAGGCCTGCTCTAGCCTGTCCACCTTGGACTTTCACTTGAAGACAGTGGCGAGCTATTGAAGGATTTAGAGCAGGGTTTAGGGCTGGATTTAATGCATGAATACAGTTACTTTTAATTATTTTTAATCATATAATAACATATGACTACATTCTTATATAAATTCAGATCACTAACTCTAAAGCCAAAATTCTCCTCTACCACTCCTTCCATCCCCAGTTTCTCCTCAGAGGTAACCACTGTTCTGTTTGGTGTGTATACATGCATAAGAGATTTAGCTAGGATTATTTTGTACGTGTGTTTTATTTATTTATTTATTTTTAAGTTTATTAGGGTAACATTGGTTAATACAATTATATAATTATCAGGTGTACATTATAATTTGACATCTATATATTCTATTGTGTGATTACCACTCAGAGTCTAGTTTCCTTCAGCTACCATATATTTGATCCCTTTTACCCACTTCACCCTCCCCTGACTCCCCTATATTTGACCCCCTTTACCCTGTCTACCTCTTCCTTCCTCCCCCATTCCCTACCCTCTGATAAACACTAGTCCATTGTCCATGTCCCCAAGTCTCTGTTTGTCTTGTTCATTTGTTGCTTTTAGGTTTATATCCCACATATAAGTGATAGCATGTGATTTTCAACTTTTTCAGTCTGGCTTATTTCGCTTAGCACAATTATCTCAAGATCCATCCAGGTTGTCGCAAATGGCAGTATTTATGTATATGTGTTTTAAAAACAAATATTATTCTGTCAAGAGATTGATTTGAGGGATAGAATTTGGGTTTGGGCAATGCTGAGAGCCAGCTGGCCATCTGTTTACTTTGCTTGGTATTCATAGAATATTTTGTTAACATTCCAGTTTTTAAGTGAGATTCTCACACAGGGATTGGTGCTGTGGGAACCATTTGATAGACCCCAATCACGACAGCTGCAAACTCTCACGGCCATATCTCCCAGATCTGTCTGTACTGTGGCCTACCCTGAGTCAAAAGTTTGCTCCCTGCAGTTGTGCAATTACAGGACAGCTGGAATTCACAGATATTAAATGTTCCTTGTTTGGATTAGGGAATGGACAATGTGCTTGCCATGTGTTGTAGAACAACTGAGGATCCAAACATGACTATGGGGTCTTTTTCTAAGGGAAAGAAAACATTTTGGGTTTGACTTTTTTACATTTTAATTAAAGTATATATGTAACAAAACACATTGAAGTAGTTTTCCATTATCGATAGTCAAGTTAAAAATTATTACCAAACTAACATAAGGACTAATATATTTGGGCATATATATAGCTTACCTCACATTAGGGCTGTTACAAAAGTGAGGTCTAGGGGTATGGGATCTAAGGAATACAGTTTTTAGGAATATATGTGGATAAATTTATTTATTCTCTCATTAATTCATTCAATAGACATTTAGTATCTATTATGAGCCTTAGTATCTATTGTTAAGTCACTGGTTGAATCACTTTGTGCCCTTTTGCTCTAAATTAAAGCTCCCAGCCCACTTGGACAGATAACGATGAGGAGTATCCATAACGGGTTTTACATACGACCAGTGATTGGCCAGTTATTCCACTCATTAAACTATTCCAAAGTTTTAAGGAAAAGCCCAGAGGTTAAAACTCTTCCCTGGGAACATGCTCTGTAACCTATGTGGTGCTTATAATAAAAGACCACTTCCTGTGAGTGACTGTAAGTTCGAAAGAGGTGATGGTGGAGTGGGTAGGCGAATGTGTTACTGTGTTCTTGGAAAACTTGTTTGAGATTTGTCCAAGTTCTAGACTGGGACCCAGGGCTCCTGAACAGGGGGGCAGAGGTCATAACTAAGGATGCAATTTACTCGAATTCTCCTCTGATCTTAATCACATCAATAGTTACCTGGGTAAGGGCAAAATCCAAAGGCATTTATAGAGGGTACAAGCTTTTCCTAAAACAGATTAGGGAGAAGCACTTTCAACAGCACCTTGTGGCAGGGTCACTAAAAACTTAAAACAAGATTTAAATGTTATTCAATTTTATCATACATTCTTTCAGCAAATCTGCATATTTCTTACTGAATCGTGACATCTGCAACATCTTGCTTAAGAATAACGATTATCAATATATAAATATTCTCTATTCCTTTAAAGGAAATTGATGAACGAGCTGGAGCCTCCTTGGAAGCTGTTCCGAGAAAGGCCCCAGAACGTCAGCACAAGTCTGGAAAGGGAAGTGGAGATGTTACAGTGGAGGACTATGGAGGGCGTCTGTGGCTATGCCAAAGGAAAAAAATCTTGCCAAGAAAAGAGAGTATACAAAGCCCTGCTCACTGAAGCCTGGAATCCAAAGGGGTCCCTGCAAAGCTTTACACAGTAGAGAGGGAATGTGCTTCCTCCAAGAGAGCGCGAAGTAAAGGCAGAAGCAGGTCCCAAGGGGCCTGGCACCCCTTCCTCTCACTCCCGTAACCTCTTGCTCAGTGCCCACCTCGGACAGGTGACCCAGAGCTGACCTAGAGGCAACTCTGACCTCCTCCCCGCGCCCGCCAGCACCGCAGATGCAGACGCCAGCTTCCCCACCTGCAAGAAGGGGTGCGAACACTATCACCCTAGTCGCCCCCGTCGTCATGGTGACCGCCGTAGCCCCGCAGCCCTGCCCCTTCCTCACGACGTGGCCCCGCCCCCTCCAAACCCGGAAGCGGGAGAGTCGCGCGGAAGGTTCAGGGAGGAGGGAGTGCGGCGGCAGAGGCTCGCTCGGCTGCTCAGGCTCGCTCGGCTGCTCGCCCCGCCCCTCGGCGGCCGGCCCCTCTGCGCGCCCCCACTGCCTGCTTCTCCTGTGGGTCCTGGGCCCTCCGGCCTACGGCCCCGACTCGGGCTCAGCCGCACTCGTTCTGCAGGAAAGAGCCACCCTGGGGAGGAGGGACAGGGACGTGGGGGCGGCCTCGGCAGGTGAGGGGTGGGCAAGGCCCTGGGAAGCGGGGGTGTGGTGTGTAATGTGTATGGAATTGCAGGTGGGTGTGTATGTAGTGTACGCTGCTGAATGTGTCGGTTTGACTTTGTGAGTGGGCCAGTCCATGTGACCATGCACGTACGTGATCACATGTCCGTGTGTGTGTGTGTGTGTGTGTGTGTGTGTGTGTGTGTCTGAGCTTGAGTCAGTTCATGGGGGTAATCGATGTGCCTGTGACCCTGCCTTTGTGTGGCTGTCACTAGTGGGACTGGGATAGTATGGGGGTCTGTGTGAGGGTCGTCTGGGTAGGGGTGAGGGTTGCTTGATCAGGACATAGTCCTGTAATCCCATCCTGGGGCTACGCTGCTGCAGCCCAGAAACTGTTTCCCAGTAAACTTTTAAGAACTCTGAGCGGAAGCCAGTTACTTTGGAGATTGTGCCACAGCCTGTTTTTGTCATTGCTGAGTAGGGCTGGGTGTGAGACTTGTGACTAGGGGATGAGAAAGGTAGCTGGACTAGTGTGTCTCACTTTTCCTCTTTTCGTTTTCCTGGAGAGTGATGAGTTCTGCATTTATGCTGCTTCTCCACCTACGATGTTCCAGCTTCTGTTAGCACAAAGATTCAAGAGGTTGAGGAGTAATTTAATAATAGCTGTGTGCAGATTTCCAAAAGCTTTTATACCAAGACAACACAAAATGAGGTGTCATAAAAGAAATATGTCAAATAGCAGCTTTTTCTCTCATAAAGTTTAGAAGATAAAGAAAAGAGGATAAATCTTCCCCTAAAGAGATCTAAAAAGAGGATAGCTATGTACTGTTATAGTAAAGTATGGAGACTTGCATTAAAAAGTCAATTGCACCGCCTAGAGACTCTCAGGTTTTATATTTTGTGATTGCTGGTATTAATAATAATCACAGATTGTCCACATGTAGATCAACTACAGATTGAGGTAAAGGATCAGAAAACCTCTGACTAGTTAAGCTGGTTATGTGACAAACATTTGTAAAGTGATTTCATTGACTGTAAACTGGCAGCTTCTGTGGAAACTCGGATAAGTACTCATAATTCTTGCACACTCACAACTGGCAGTTTTATTGTCAAACAGCACAAGGGCCAGAGAGGACCTGGTGTCCAATGCACGTCCTGAGAAGGGGTTTCCTTAGTCAAGATTAAGGATAATCTCTCTAGCCCTTTCTCTACCAGCATGAACAGGTGCTTTTGTTTTTGTGAAGAATTGAATTGTGAGATCAAACCAGTGTTGAGCTCATGGCCCACATTCTTTCTTATTTTATACCGACCAGTTTGGTCACAATCTCAGTTAACCTTTTTTGCTGTATACAGAATGTTCCTCTTGTGACTTGGAAAAGTATACTTCTTTAGAGGATGAAAGAGCTCAGAGAACAAAATTCCTTTTCATACTGCACACAGCTGTTCTCCCTTTGCAGCAGTGAGCTTTTTTCATTTAGATGTCAGTTGGTCATATGCAACATTTGGTATCTAGCTTACCTTTCATGTACTGCCAAACTAGCACAAGTGTTAAAATCACTTGCCTCTACAAAAATGTAGTCACAGTTGGGTGGAATCTCTCCATCCAGCAAGATTAGTTATAAAATGTTATGATACTGGGGTAATTGTGAATAATATTGAGGACTGTGGTAAGGAACATCTTTCTATTGCTATGGGAAGAAGTGGATGACAGTGAATGTGTGTGCCTGTGTATGATGTGTATTTGTATAGTAGTTTGGTTTGTACATTGCAGTTGATTCCAAATTATGAATAACTTATTTTATGCATAGTTTGGTAAATCTAGAAGGAAACTTTCTGGCTTTAGCTAATTTAGTTATTGAGTAGATTTTTTTTTTTTTTTTTTGCCAAACATGTTTTTGATATTTCCTCCTGTAAAATATAATTGTTTATAGTAATGCAATACTAGAAAATATCTCCATTAGGAAGTATTTAGATGATATAGGAATATTTCAAGTGTATCCAGGTAGAAAATATCCAGAAAGTCTATAATTCAAATGGCTAGTTTTTTTAACATGTTAGTATTTGTTAAGAGAAAATAAGCAAAGAACGATTTTCTTTATTTCAGTATGAATAACAATTATATTTGTGCACACTGATTTTCAGCATAAGACTGGCTAATGGTTTTCTTGGAACTTTAGAGCAACTTATGATATTAACAAATTTTTATAAAAGTACCATACTAAAAATACAAGCCTTGAGAGAAGAGACCATTATTACAATGGCAAGTTTGTAAATCAAGTTTAACATTGGATATCTACTTTTGCTATCTCCTTGGAGTTCAATTTAGTAACCCCCACCCCTCCAAGGTTAGAGGTAACAGTTTAAGACTGCTCAGTGCTCTGTGTTTCTGAGGAGGGTCAAGATGTGGAGGGCCAAGGAGGAAGAGTTCCATTGGGTTTAGAATCCCCTGCCCCTGCCCAGTCCAGAGAAGTCCCTCTAAAATGACAGTTTAGAGTCAGCCCAGGAGTTAAATCCTAGGGTCTTGAACTCATCCTAGCCCTACTAGGAAATCTAGACTTGCCTTGGGGTAGAGGGCAGAGTAGAATGCAAATATTTGAATCCTTTCCTTCCACACAGATGGGTGGAAGTGCCTCACTTGACAATAAGAATCTACAACAAGGATCTATAATTTCAGGTTCCTGTTATCATATCACACAGATGCCTGAGCAAAGAGGGGCGACCTTTAAATTGAAGATGTTCAGCTAGTTCAATGCCCATAGTTAACTGGGTTAGAAGGAACTCTAGGATTGCTTAGTTCAGTCTCTTGAGGCCATAGTCAACAGATAATGCCAGTTGTGTGCCAAGCACTGTTCTAGGCTTTGGAGAGACAGCGGTGAAACAGTCATAGATGAAAAAAACCAAGCCTAAAGGGGATCAGTGACTATTCCAAGGTTACAGAACTACAAAAGCTAGAAATCACTAATCTCACAATAAAAGACCACACATTTTTTTCTAAAGGCACATATTTTGTTTTGTTGCTAGTTATAGTGCCTTCAAGTCTACCCTGGTATCATAGACCTTTCAGAGGACAATATGTCACTTTTAAGCAAATAAATATGAACAGCAAGTTTTCCTGTATTTT